ACAGAGGGCAGGGCTGGTCCCACGGCGGCGGTCGAGCTGGGGCGGCTGGAGGGGACCAAGCGGGGCCCGGATGGGGACAGGGACAGGGTTGGGGACAGGGATGTCCCCGACCTCTACCCCCACCCTGATGTCGGCAGCCTCCTGGAGTCACCCACATCCTCCAGCGTGGAGATCGGTGAGTCGCTGGGTGCCGCATGCCCGTGGGGGCTGGGTCTGTCACCCACGGGTGCTCCGGGGTGGTGGGACCTGGCTCCGTCACCCATGGGTGCTCTGGGGTGGTGGGACCTGGCTCCATTGCTGACGGGTGCTGGGCGGTGGTGGGACCTTGCCCACTGGGGACATGGGCAAGGGCTGCCTGCCCCGTCCCCGTCCCCGAGCCCCCGTCCCCTGTGCCCCCGCAGAGCACCTCACCCAGAACGTCCTCAAGTCGTACCGGGAGACCTGCCAGCTCCGCGCCGAGGACCTGCAGCTCCGGCGCTGGGACACCTTCTCCCGCGAGGAGGTCTGCGCCTACCAGAAGAAGGTGAGGCCAGCGGGTGGGGACAGGGGAGGGGGCACGGTGGTCCCAGGGCACCCGGAGGATGCCGAGGGCCGGGTGCCGGGGCTCCGGCGTGGTGCGGAGCGATGGGGACGCTCTCGGGGGCTTGGGGAGGGCTTGGGGTGGGGGTGACGGCCGGTCCCGCAGCCGATGGAGGAGATGTGGCAGGGCTGCGGCGGGGGCACCACCGCGGGCCTGTCCCCAGCCCCGGGGCCACCTCATCCCCTGTCCCCAGCCCTGGGCCACCTCGTCCCCTGTCCCCAGCCCCGGGGCCACCACATCCCCTGTCCTCAGCCCCACAGCCCCTGCTGCCCCCATCTCGCCAGCCCTGGTGTCCCCGGGCGATGGGATGCTCTGGTCCCATCAGGGAGGTGACAGTCCCTACAGGATGCCATGGTCCCATTGGGAGGTGACGGTCCCCAAGGGATGGTGTGGTCCCATCACGGGGTGGCAGTCCCTATGGGCTGCTCTGGTCCCAGCAGGGAGGTGACAGTCCCGTGGGTCCCACCGGGGAGGTGACAGTCCCCAGGGGCCACTCCAACCACACTGGGGAGGTGACAGTCCCGTGGATCCCACCGGGGAGGTGACAGTCCCCAGGGGCCACCCCGACCCCACCGGGGAGGTGACGGCCCCCAGGGCTGGTGCCACTGGGCACCGACCCAACGCCCAGCAGTGGCACCGCGGGGCCCCGTGTCCCTGGTGCCACCGTCCCCGTCCCTGTCCCGCTGCCGGGCGGTGGCAGGCGCCATGGAGGTGGTGCTGGTGCGCATGTGCCGAGCCTTCAACTCCGACAACCGGACCGTCTTCTTCGAGGGCAAGTAC